TATATATATAATACTGGTGACACTGGCAAGGACCACGTGACGACCTATTAGTTATTGGCCCAAACTCAGAGTGCGCTGTTCAATGTCGTCTACGGTCAGATCTCCCGACTAGCAGTCCATATTTATATAGTCAAAGGTCTCGCTATGCTTGTTAGGCGAAGATGCGCATTCCAGTGTATATAGAGTTCAGTGTCTATAAGTATATATGGTCTAAGACTGTAGTACACTTTTGTTACACTCTGGCGTTTTTCTTGAAAAGCATACACTTTACACGATGTTTCCCCCACTTCCAAAAAGTGTAGTGTATTAAAAGTGTAAGGTGTACACTTTACACTTTTCGTGTATGCAAGTAAAACAAACCTAATGTAGAATAGGCTTAACATACGAAAATACACATGTTATAAAGCCCCTTGCACAATGAAAGGAATAGCGATAGCGATAGAAATAACACAGTTTTAAACACAGAATTACAACTCGTCGGAAATTTTATAGCTATTGCTTATTCTGATTTTCTAATCTGCATTGATACATGTGTATTTTTGTACGTTAGATTCCGCTGTTCTTACCGGTATTTATATATATAAACTCTTTAAAACTGGTGTTATTTCTATCGCTATCGCTATTCCTTCCATTGTGCAAGGGGCTTTTATATCTATAAATAACGACAGGAACAGCGAAATCTAACATATAAAAATACACATGTATCAATGCAGATCAGAAAACGGAATAAGCAATAACGATAAAATTTCCGATGAGTTGGAATTCTGTCTATTGCTTATCGCTATCACTATTCCCTCGCATTGTGCAAGAGGTTTTATTTATATATAATCTTCTAGCTAGCATAACAATTTTACAGTAATTAAAAAGAAATATAGGTACACATTTCACAGTAATTGAGAAGAAACATAGGTACATTTCTTAGTAATCAAAAAAAATATACAGTAATAAAAAACTATATGTTAAATTTGATTTTATTGTGTGTCCACTGTCGTGTGACAGAACTATTTTACTTAAAATAGTGAAAGATACAAGAAATTAAGAATTATTTAGTATCCCTCATCTACGTAAATTTGTGCATCAAGAAAAAAAATTGACAAACGAAACAATTCCGAGAAGCAAAAAATGCACGCGTGTATTAAAAATCTTTTAATTGATTTATTTTTAATATCGTACATCTCTAGTGTTTATAGTTTTTTATCATTATTTTTAAATTCTCATAGCAATACTGTGCAGTCACAACTGTTTAAATGTGATATTTTACAAGTACAGAATCTAGTGACTAAATCTTTTTCGCTTCTTATGTAATGCGCTGATCTGTGATATACAAAATTGTTATGTTAACATAATCTAAATCAAAATGTTATTTAATATGTTACCTGACATATAACTAATTGTGAAATCAACTCTGATAGATTAGACTAAATCTGATAATATATATAAGAACATATACTAAACTAAAAATTATATACTAAGCTAAGTCTATCTTTTTATACATACGAAGCGGTTCTCTAAATAAAGGTTCTATTAATGAAGATAGACATTTCTGATTAATTAACAATACATGCGCATATTGTATATTTGAAAAAAAAACGAATATAGACATTTAAAAAATTTCATATTAAAAAAATGTCGCTAAAATTATTGGTAATTATTCAGTATAGAGAAGACAGTCTCGATGACCTTGACTTTGATATTTTTTTATCAAGGACACTCCTGAGTAATTCTTAACAGGTTGTTCATTAAAAAGTTATTAGCAAAAACCTTATGCAACGCTTTGTGTGGAAAGTGTAAAGAATTTTACTACACAACAAGCGACGGCTAAAACCGAGGCAAAGGTTTTCTACATGAATTTATAACCCACGCAAAGCGAAGTTCAATCCAAACCTATATGTTTAGTTTTTCTAGCGGAGCCTCTGTAGGGAGAGGGGCAGAACACACTACCTCTACGCATACACTTTCCACGTGAAGCGACGTTCCACAACATCAGTAGAGCATTACGAATTCTATTTAGCTGAGTTTTTATTTAAACGTCGTCTCGCGTATACCATAAAAAAGTATAGACAAATTTATATACAAAAATATGTAGTATTATATAATATTACAAATAATAATAACACAAGTAAATAAGGTCAGATTTTAGCAAAGGCAGTTGAAACAAATATATTTAAGTATAAGTGATCACAATGGCGTTAAACATTAAATTTCCCAGCAAACAATTTGGTTGTCAGATATCGCGATTTTGTAGCCAACCGCTACATCAAATTCATATCCATCTGTGTCCTAGTAGGATATGGTTTTGGTGAGTTTTGGTGACCATGTTGCGTTTTTTGTGTCTGTGTGTTAACAGCTTTGACAGCACACAAAGCATGTTTCCGTATTGTAGCGTTTCTGCACACAGTTTCTGTTGCCGGGTCTGCGCAGTCAGAAATTGTTTGCTGGGTTGTGAAACGTTTCGCAAATTTAATGTTTAACGCTATTGTGATCATTTATACTTAAACATATTTGTTTTAAATGCCTTTTCTCGAATCTGATCTTATTTACTTGTTTTATTGTTCACACAACGAGCGTTTTCTTTCTTTCTTTACAAATAATAAGAAAAATGTTGATCTTTAACATTCGTTTGTGGTCATTTTTTATGAATAACTTTTCAACAAATAATGAGCAAAGGCTAATCTTTTGATTGCTACCCTTGACGATAAGTGTCAAGGTCAATGTCATCAAAGCTGCTCCCTCTCTACTGAATAATTTAATCTTATGATATTTACATATTACAACAAAATATTTAAAATCGCTGCTGAATACTTTTAACTAACAATGTACAAGGTGCAATGCTATACTCCATTTAAAACTATATAAGAGAAAAAAGTAGTACTTAAATGTACGTAATTTTACAATAAAAAAAACTATAAATTGCTATAATTATACAATAAAGTATTTCATATAGCAGAAAAATACTTATATAGAGATCTCGATAATATCATTATCATAGATCTTAATTCATATTGTGTATTGTACCTATAATTAGTTATATTTGAGAGACACAAAGTATCACTAAAGCACTATTACAGAGTAGAAATAGTTTTGGAAATACAGTGCGGAAACACATTTTTTAACTTTTTTTTAAATAAAATGTCTCATCACTGTTTTACATCAATAAAAGCTTGCAATTATTCATACATATATGCATTGTGACGGGACTTTTTATGCTTCTAACATTTTTGTATCTTTGTGACTAGATATAAGTCTTGCTAAAATATATTGCTTTATTGTGTTCTCACAAAATATCCTACATTATTTTGTCATAAAATTATAAAGTTTAAATTACAAGATTTATAAAGTTTTGAAAGCAATTTATGCAAAAAAAAACGCCTTAAAAATGTTAAAATATAAAGTTTGGGAAGCCCTAATTTTTATCGAGTTCAAATAAAAATAATATACAAACAATCATTTAAGAAGCGGATATTGTAAACATCTCAAATATTAAACGCAGATGTGTTATGAAAATGTATAAGATGTGACAAAATGACAATTTATATACGTTTTTCTTTTCGTGAAAATGATTCTTTTTATATACGGAGTATCTGTAATTAAATAAATAGAACATTATGCATTGTGTGTATAACAAAATCATATTATCTAGAAAGTTAATCTAGAAAGACAACATCGGACTTACTTTTTTCTCAAGAAAAGAGAAAATATATCAAAAACTACAATATTATAAGATTCTCTTTAAGTAATTACGTATATAAAGATCATTTGGTTTGTGCATAGAATATATTAAAAATACTAATGTTTTTTGTAGGAAATATATAATAGTTTATAATTTTGACAAGAGAATTAGTATATGTATATGTACAAATACAAGGAGTTTTTATAGTTCCTTAAAAAATTAAAATAGTTAAGTACTTCGTGCGTTACTGTTACATATCGATATTATAAATCAATTAGGTCAATTTGTTTTTATCGTTTAAAGAAACAAAGCATGTAAAGTAAAAAAACTATACTAATTATATTATGCAAATACATTATGCATATGTTATATGTACATGTGTTACAATGATGAAAGTGTATTTTTACTATTATTTTTTAAATTTAAATTGTTTAAAATATTATTTTAAGGTTTTTTAAATTTTTATATATATTTTCTTAAAATATGGTATAACTCTATTTGTTTACGAACGATTGTACGGCTATTACTCGGGCACTCTGTATGTATATACGGGTGTCCCAAAAATTTTGATCACGCCGAAGTGTAAAGGTAGATTACGTCAATCTAAACAAAAAAATTATGTATCATTTTGCAAAATTCGCAATAGTTATTGAGTAGTTAATTAATAAATGTGACCCAATGAGCGCGCTGGAAGAGATAATCCGGACTCTGTAGACGTATACGGTTATCAGCTGTAAAGAAAGATGACTTACTTCACGCAATGTCCTAACAACGAGAGACGGAGTAAACAATCAAGCGCGACAGCTTCTTGCAAACAGCTGATATTCGGCGGTACGGAAAAAGCAGCTGAAAAAGATACTTTCCGCGAGGAATCTCTCTTTACAGCTGATAACTGTATACGCCTACAGAGTCCGGATTATCTCTTCTAGCGCGCTCATTGGTCACATTTATTAATTAAGTACTCAATAACTATTGCGAATTTTGCAAAATGGTATATAACTTTTCTATTCAGATTAACGTAATCTACCTTCACACTTCGGCTTGGTCAAAATTTTTGGGACACCCTGTATATACATACAGAAGCCAAGTAATAGCCGTACAATCGTTTGTAGATAAATAGAAAGAGTTATACTGAGTCGAAAAGTTTTTTACCAGTTTGCAAGATTCACAATAAGTTCTCAATTTAAAGATCCGCGAATGAGCGTGAATCTACGTGCGTAAGCCCAGCGCTTTGCATGCTTATAGGAGCTACATACGCAACGTGCTGTTTATATTAACTCTTCTCATTGAGTTGCTGCGCGCGTAGAAATCACAAGCGCGCGAAATGCCTGGCTGTTTTATGCACGTAGTGGATGCTCATTCGCGGATCTTTAAATTAATTAAGAACTCGTTTAATTATTGCGAATCTTGCAAAGTGATAAAGAACTTTTGTACGACTATTACCGGACTTACACTCTGTATATATAACAGGAATTAGTATATAAAAAATAAGATTTATCACAGTTGTCCGAATTATACGACTTATAGTTAAGTTAAAAGTAATCTAGATATTTCTGAAATTGTTATCAGTATGCATAACACTTCATAAAGTACAACATTGATCAAATACATTAGTGTATGGCAGAAGCAATTGTTTCTGAACACGAGAAGAATAGGTATATATGTGACATGGGAAAAATTACATTAAAATTTATAAATACATATAAATTCAATGTAAAAACAGGAACATGTAGAATGTTATCTACTTAAGTGTGAATGACATTTTCATGAGATCAAAATGTATGTAACGCATGATAATAATGACCTGCGCTATAAGAGGACACACACATACGTATGTATGTATATAGTGATTCTGATAAGTAAAAATATTCTTGACAAATTTGGCAATGCGTCATCTGAATGCCAATACATATATATAGAATATAAATTAATACTGCATCTATATTGCTATATACTTTATACCGTTCATTTGTTTTAAAAAAACATTGATAAATCCTTTTTAAGAATTTCACGCGTAATATCATACATAATACTAATCATAAATACTTGTTTTGTGACACTGGTATTTCTCCCTACATAAATGAAACAGGTACTAATTATATGCATGCACAATGGAAATTTTGTGATGCTGCTGAATGCGCGTCGGTTAGATAACAGTTCGCAAGCGACAGCGTATCAGACGGTTACTGGCGGCCTATACTCCTTGTTGACGACGTAGAACTTGTGTTTCTTGCTGAACACGCCCCATATTACGGCAACGTTCTCGATAATGATGTTGAACGGAATAGTGGATAACGCACCGCATATACATAGCATAAATCGAGCCACGCCGAAACGATAAAGGGAGAACGATTTGACCACTCCAAATACATACATGTAAATATTCACCGCGCCGATGAACGCGCATAAGAAGTCGATCAATGGCGGACAGGTAATCGGACACAATCCGGCTAGGACGATGTTGGAAGTGGAAAGAGGCATCGTCACCCACGAATAACACGAAATACCCAACAACAGTTTCTTTCTTAGTGGAATTGCTTTGGAATGCACGACAAGCAGTATACCTTGTAGCCACCTCTTTCTCTGCTGTACAAAGTCCCATAACGTGAATGGTGATTTCTCCCACATCTCGCCTTCCACAAAGTTGAATGTATATCCTTGGGAAAACGCCTTCATAGCAAAGAAGCAGTCTTCCGCGACGGATCCGTCCAGTCCGTTGTTGAAGGAAACTTGCTTTTCTGCTCCCATCTGTAACAATAAAAACATTCTCTTTTTTTACGATAAATTCCAAATAAATAATTTTTCCGTAATTAAAATATCGGTGATTACTTGTGTAACAACGTAGGATCCTTTCATGCTAAAAAACGGTTTGTGAAACATGGTAAATTGTAATCGAAGCTTTCCCATGTCATCCGCTACTCTGAAACTATCAGCCAGTGTTGTGATCCAGTTCACGACATCCTCGTTGGCATATGTGATCAATCCCTGGCCAAACTGATGTTTGCCGTCTAGTACAAAGTTCAGTATGCCGCGGACAGAATTTTCAGTCATCAGAGTCTCCTCGTCGAGATGAACAATCCAATCGTGATCGGCTAACTCATTTACCGAGTTCTCGAGACAATATTGCAGAGCACGGGCTTTAAACAAGGCGCCGCTGCTTGTACGGTAATTCGGAGGAACAACAACTTCTCGCACTCGGCGATGCGGCGTTAAACCTATTGGTTTATCGCTTACTACTTCTATCTGAAAGTTCTCAAGACCAGCCTCTATGCATTTGTTCAAGTTTCTCTTCACGTTTGTCTTTACTAACTGTGGATAGTCACCTCGAGTAACTATCCTTATGCATACAAAGGGCGCAAGCAGAGGTGAACCTTTTAGAACTACTTTATCAGGGAATGCATTATATATTGTTAATCCAACAAAATTGAATAAAACTTGAGGCAGAGAGAGAAACGTCAGTGTACGCAGCAGATACAAAGTGATTGCACCGATAACACCATATCTCCTCCATGAATCAATCTTCTCCTTTTCATCCGCATTCCATCGAAGACCACCGGACACAAACTCAAATATCAGTATGACCACAAGCAGCAAACAGCAGTGCAAAATATGTTTGGTTGTACAGCTCAACATTATTTCTGTAAGAAGTACAATATATATTATAGTACCATAACACTATTAGAAATATTAGCAATTTAAAGTACATTTTATCTGTAGAAATTCAAGGAATTATGTCTCACTAGTTTTACAGCACTATTAATTGTATGAAAATATATTAATTGAAGAGGAAATATTGAAATTAAGGATAGAACTAGCGTGAAGTATATTAAACAGTTAGTTATACTTGGTAAAATAATAGGAATAACTTCATTACTATTTATACATTTCAGAGCAGAGATTAATCTGGCCTTCAGTTCTCTGCTGCACATATATATGTATCATATATCCAACCACATATATACAACCACAGTACAATGTTACTTGTACATATATGTGATGCTCAAATAAAGTGTCAATGAAGAAACTTGTGAGTCGGAAAATTAAAAAAATAGAATTAGCTACTACACATGTGCGTGATTAAGTGTGAATGACTCAGAATTCTTTCGAAAGATAATGAGCTGATAACCAAAGCGTTGGTTGGTTGGTGCTATAACCAAATCGTGATGTAAAAAACCCAAACTATTATGTACATAAACACAAGAATTTTTCTGCAAAATTAACTGAAAATATCAGTCGTGAACTCTGAAAGCTGTATCGGCAAGATTGATCAAACGTTATTCCCAGAAATTTCTGATATCTTTCGTGTTTCTTCGGTGCGCGCGATTTGTTTCTATCGATGATACCGTAGTTATTAGAAATTTCCGTTTTCCGTAACCTTATCGCACTTTGTTCCGATATGTAAGCAGGTGATTTATGGTATATTATGAGAACGTGAGACGGACGGACTAAACGTACTAGCCGATCGCTGATAGTTAAACAAACGAATGTTGCGTAAATGTGCGTGATCTCAAAGTGCAGCAGAAAACACAAAGTTATTTGCATCTGCTGTCTCGGATAGATGTATCTTTGCGATCGTTAACGAACGTTCAAGTATTCTCTACGGATAATGTCCAACTTCATCACCTCTAGATAAGTTTTCGATGACTTTATTCAAAAGATATCTTCTAGAATCAGTTATCTTCTTTGTAAAACTTATAAAATGAATGTTTTATTAATTGACAGATATCTTTATTCAAAGAATAGCTATTGGGAAGTATGAAGAAATCGAGCACAAGTCATGTAAGTATGTACCTCCAACAACGACGATCCTTTAAATATATGCAACAATGAACGTGTCGATGCTACCCATCGCACGCAATAACATAGCCGATTATATACCGCAGATTTACCGTCGTTCGATCGAATCGCTGTGCAAAAACGGTTTCATAATTTTGGCACCTTGTATTTTACTAGTCACCGCGTCGTTCACCACTACACACGTAACCGAAATTCAGCAAGCCAGTGTACAGACGGCGTCATTAATTCGAAGAATAGGCGCGGGGATCGGAGGGCAAGCGGGGCGGTTGCTCGTAGCGCCAACGGGCGCCGTACTAACTAACTAGTAGNAATCGGGTGTCCACAACTACGTCGTGTCGATAATGTAACTGCTCTTTCTTTCTATTTTCTTCTCAAAACGTAAAACTATTGGCCATTTACTGAAAGTCTAAGGCTGTGTTCAGTTAAGCAAGATGGAACGAACTAATGCAGGAAATGCAGGAAATACAGGAATTGGAACTAATGAAACTAATGAAACTAATGAAAGAAGTGAAAATAGT